TAAAGTCTAAAGTCTAAAGTCTAAAGTTACAGGACCTCAAGCTGACTCAAGCTGAAGCCTGAAGACTCAAGATTCGACTCAAAACTTGTGGGTGGCCTTGCGGCCTTGCGGCTCTTGAGAATTGATTTCGGACTTGGCTGGTTACTGATTTTGGGCCCTGTTGACTTTCACCTCGCATCGATTGTCCGGTGAGGATGTGCAGCTGGCGGCTCGAAACACTCTTCGACCGCAGCAAGGCCTCGAAGGGTATGATTGCTTTCAGAAAGCTCACGCACGAAGCAACAGCATCAAAGTGGACCTGCCAGTGTACACCCCCGAGCAGATGCTTAAAAAGGCTGAGGAGCTCAAGAGGCTCAAGAGCGTCAACTTGGCCGGATCCGGCAAGAAATCGATCTCGGACATGGGTAGTGTGGAGGACATTTTGGGAGGACTCCTTGACTCGGATGAGCCTGAGCAGGCTTTTTGATTTGCTTGAGTCTTCAGTCCTGAGTTCCCTTCTGTGTCGGGCGATTCTAGATTCTAGATTGTATTCCATTCTAGATTCTAGATGATTCTAGTGATTCTATTCTCGTCTAGAGTCTAGAGTCTAGCCTAGCAGAGCAGTTCTAGCAATTCTAGCAGCTAGCAGCTAGCAGTGCAGGAATCCAGAGACTGCAGTGCGGATCTCCCCCCATGCCCGGGCCCAGCATTCCAAAACCCAATGGCGGCCAATGTCAAAGTCTCCAACAGAGTCCCAGAGCTTTTTAGCCATTTTGGCCTCGTCACGTCACACGTCAACCGTTATTAACTTTACAGACAGGATTTGCTGATTTGCTCTAGTTCTAGTCATTCTAGTCTCTAGTCTCTAGTCTAGTAATCTAGTAGAGTCTAGTGACTCTAGTGACTAGGACTCTAGTGACACTAGTGACTAGTGACTCTAGTGACGTGACTCTTTTGACTTCTGACCTAGTGACTCTCTAGCTAGTGACTATATAGTATATAGTGTTCCACGCAAGTTCTTATAAGGAACAGGATTTTTAGTGTCCCAGCCGCAGCGCCGTAGATCTTATGAACAGGCAGGATTTGCTTTAGCTGTAGTGAAGTGTCCCACCAAAAGTCGAATAAGGAGGCAGGATTTGCTTTATTGTACTGTGTCCCACCCGAGGGTCCCGTGACAGACGGGATTTGCTTTACTTTCCCACCTGTAGCGCCGTAGATTGATGAGCGGGCAAGATTTGCTTTAGTGACTTTAGTGCCCCACCCAATATTACCCTAATTAATAATTCGTCGAAGAAGGAGGCAGGATTTGGCTCGTGAGCAGACAGGATTTGCTTTAGTGATAGTGTCCCACCAGTAGCGGCGTGTTATGAGCAGGCAGGATTTGCTTTATAATTGTCCCGCCCGATTAAAATTAGTGGATTAAGACTGAGTAAGGAGACAGGCTTCGCCCTGTGAGCAGACAGGAAGGATTTGCTTTAGTACTTTAGTGTCCGAGCCGTAGCGCCGTAGATCTTATGAACAGGCAGGATTTGCGTCATTATAATAGTGGAATAAGTAGGCAGGATTTGCTTTAGTTAGTGTCCCACCCGTAGCGCCTTAAATCTTATGAGCAGGTTACTGACTCTAGTACTTTACTTTAGTGTCCCACCCTCAGGTCTCGTGAGCAGACAGGATTTGCTTTAGTGACTTTAGCGGCTTTAGCGCCGTAGATCTTAGGAGCAGGCAGGATTTGCTTTAGTGAGTGTCCCACCCAACTAGTAACTAGTCACTAGTCAAGTCAAGTCAAGTCAAGTCGAATAAGGCGGCAGGTTTTTTTTCGTGTCCCACCCGAATGTCCCCCAAGGTCTCGTGAGCAGACTGGATTTGCTCGAGTGTCCTACCCAACTGGCCCAATACTCAATACGTCTTATTTATAAGGAAGTCGGACAAGTAGGATTTGCTTTAGTGTCCCACCCGTAGCCGTAGGCCGTAGGCTTTTGCTGTTGCTCTTGACTCTTGACTCTTGCCACTTGCCTGGCCTGCCTGATGTCCTGCAGGCAATCACAATCGAGTCAGACAATCCGAACCAAACTCCTGGCTTGGCTCTGCCTGGCACTCTCAGTGGACAGGCCACTGCGGATGAGGAAGCCGGAAAAAATGGCAGCAAGAAGAGAAAGGACCTTAAGGACAAGGACAAGGACAAGCAGTCGAGCAAGCCCCCAAGAAAATCCAGAAAGGATGATGACACGAAGAGCGCGACATCAAAGCCTCGCGGCCAGGATGCCATCGACAGGCTGATGGAGGAGCACAAAGCAAATTTGAATGTTGCGAAGGTGCTGAATGGCACAGTCTCGAAGCAACAGCTGTATTTCATCAGCAAGTTCATCCAGACACTCGAGAAGAAAGGCAACACAGTGGAAGCTGCAGATTTGGAGCGCGAGCACCTGGTCTGCACGGCCGCCCTCATGTTGACGCCAGGAGAGCTGGCCCAGATTCCCTTGGAACAGGTGAAGGCAGGATGTTGTCTCTGAAGAGTCAAGGCAGCTAAACGATTAGAT